AGCACCATATGCAATTTAGGGAGTACATTTTCTTGACGAGCTTCTGAGAATCGGCAGACGAAAGCTTAGCACAGATTCATTTGGGTTGCAGAAGGATGCTCTGAGGATATCTCAGCACAATTCCAAAGCAATCTTTGATCGGTTTCCAAGGGATCAGTTTACGAATTGCTTCCGCCCTTCGCTTCAATTGAAGTGAAATGTACTACAATATATCTTGATTGCCACTTAAGGAACTTTTTTTATTTATCATGTGTGAACTGAGTATTTATAATTAATAGACAGAGCCTAAAAGAACGATAAATGGATCGCTGAAATCAAGAGTAATAGCAAGAAATAATAGCGACTTTGTATGACCAACTAGCATAACAGAAGTAAGCAATGGGGACAATGAGAGTTGTCGTCTTGTGCTAATCAGTATGAGTATGATTCGAAACCCTCAGTAATTCTTAACTAAGAACTTAGCCACCCTAGGTCGCTCGAGGTGAAGTAAGGACTGAAATTTCCGGAAACGAAGTGAGTAGGCTTCTTGATGCCATAGAAATTTCATTGGCTTTGCCTCCCAAAAGGTCTTCTCAGCCTGATGGGACTAAGGCTTCGACCTGATCTGCACTTTAATAAAATATTCTAAATAATAAAGCGAAGGCATAATCATAAATCTGATAGGTGTATATGCCTACACATATTTCGTATTTAAAAGGTGGAATAATGGAAAGTATGGTGCTTAAAAAGCGTTATGTGCGAACCTGAACTTGAGCTTTTAGTTCTTGGATCTGTTCTTGCAGATGCGTTTCCAGTTCTCCTGCCGACTGAAGATCTTGCTTCTCTTCATCGCCACCCCTGAGTTCTGGAGCTAAATCTTCTGACTCTTTAGGACCATCATCGGCAGTCGTCGGCTCCGTGGCAACCCCAGTCTCGGTAGTCTGTACAGCCTTAATAAGTTCATCACGAAGTTTTGCAAGTTCAGCTTCGGCAGCCTCGTTAGCATCACGTGCAGTCGCCAAGGCCTCTTCAAGCTCGAAAATTCGTGAATCATCATCCGCCGATTTACATTCTAAAGTTGACTTGTCGATTGTCTCTTCCGCCATTCGAAATTGAAGATCCTCCAGTTTTCTGACACAACAGAAAAGTGAGAATAGTAAGAGAAGATTTTTTTTTAATAGAAAAGGTTGAATATCGGAAGCAGGAATGTTTGCGTTTATTAAACAAATTGGCTTAATACCACAATTAGGAGCTAAAGCGAAACATAAGATGCAATAATTTGTAATAAGGAAAAACGCTATTTCGTAAACCCAAAGTTCAATATTAAATTAGTTTAAATACCTCCGCAACGCTTAGAATAAACATATTAAAATGCCTCTAAAATTAAAATGTGATATTAAATGAAAATTAATTAAGAAATGGGTGCCAAGAGATCCGAAAATACGAATGAGATTGAACCGTTTAATTTCTATCAAAATTAGTGTACTAGAAACTCGTCATAATTATTGAATAAAAAGAAAATGTTGCTGGCACAAAGTATTACACCTCAAATGAATCCATGCCATCAGTTGTTATGTTGAAGGAATCTTAAAGCCAAAAATAATTCAGTAGACAAATTCACTTACTATTCAACCAAGAATAGTGGTTAAATGCAATCATATCTATTTCTTATAGGCTTATAACCAAAAGCAGATAGATTAATTACATTATTTGCAGTCAGTTATTGAGGTACCAAGGATTCGAACTTTAAAATTTCCCAAGATTTTAATAATGGATGCTTTTGCCTAGGGTATCATGATGCTCGACACGGAGCAGCATAAAGTATTGCCAAAATAATATAACCAGCAAATCTTTCATTACGAGGTTCACACCAAGGCTCGAAATATACCGACTAATTAAAGCGATAAAAAATGTCTTAAAAGGCAGCATATACCACAATAAATGTAAATTTCCCCATTTATTTGGTTGCATCCAAACTAGTTTAAATTTATAATGTCTTGGATCTCAGAAACAGATTTATTGCACTATTAGTTACAAAAAACAACTTAATAATAAAAAAGTGAATAATGAATATAATTTTAATGCTATTACGATCGCCTTCTAAAAGGAAATCTTGTAGAAATCCTGTGTATATTAAAAATGATTGCAGCAACGAGTGAAAAAATGAAGATAGATTCAACCTTAAAAATTCTACTAGGAAGATATATAGACGTATAAATTTATCATTTTGGCTAATGGAAAAGGTACCGTTAAGTCTAAGTGACTGGAAAATAACTTTCAATCCGATTCACTAAGAAAGAACACCACTGGTATCTTCGAAAGAGTTATGTGAGTGCTAAAAATATTTTTGTATAACTAGTAAAATATGCTATCTTTAAAGTAAAAGCAACAACAAATTCAAAAGACTTACTCCATGTGCCTTGAAGCTCGCCCATTAAAGTGATGATCTTCTTCAAATTAAGTAATTAATAACGGTGCAAATTTATGATGAAGATGAAAACGAAAACAAAAGAAGGAATGGACTTTTTTGGACAACGACTTTGTTTTTCTCTAAAGAGTCGATCTTGTCAACTAGTGAAAATTGGGAAAGCGAATTCAGATAGCAAGCCTCACAAAGTGAGACAATGTATGATGCGTGGATTAGATCCCTGTCTCAGTTATCCAGTCAAGTATATCGTATGAAGCTATTAGTCATGATACATTGGAAATAAGCAAAGTTTATAATCATAAATATTCGAAGCTATGAAGACCAAGAAGATATGGCCCTCGGCATGTTCGGAAATCAAGCGAAGACGTTCTCAGTGAGTGAAGTCTGTTCGAAGAAACCAGTACAACTTTGGGAGCCTGGCGGTCACGGAACTGGGCAGACAAATAAGCACAATCGTCACAGAAATTCGGCATTATGGCCAAAATGTACTAGAAATCCACTTGAGATGCTACAAGCGTCCATAGTTTGTTCAGGAGACGACACGTGAAGACAATGGCTAATATCTACAAGCATGGGAATCAAAGCCTAGGCGCCCTGCTCGATGAGGCAGCAGTTTACGTGAGAAATAGCGCATGGAGTTAAAAGTAAATTGGGACTGGAGCCGAGTGAAATCCGTCAACCATAAAGATAAGACAAGGATCTATGGGACCATGAGGGAGATCCGGATAGAAGGCCCGAGTCGGACTAGCCGATCGAAAGAGGAGGGAAAAGTTAACAGCAGATGTGATGAGGCCACACTAAACTTGCCAAAAAGGACACACCTTTAACGAATGAAATGTAAACAAGTCAGAAGTTATGATAGAGAGGGAGAAGGATAAGAGGTTAAGCCGTAGATAGATAGTCCAGGACAAAAAAGTGATAGTGCAACCGTTTCGACAAAACGTTGGTCGAGGGATCGACTTCACTTCTCTCTTTGACGAGTTGTAGCTTGGTGCGGAGAATGGCAAGACTTAGTGATGATGCCGATTACGATGCCGGCAAAACGTCTGAGAATGTACCAAGTCCACGGTCTGATGCTAGGAATTATGATAGCAACTATGATAGAAGACTTTGAAGGTGAGTTCAACTAAGTCGCCCAGACAATAAGACCAAGTTGCGAAAATAAGGTCAACCCACGTATAATTAGCAATATTGTCTTCTTTTGAGGTCATTATATACACTTACAGATCGCCTCCCGCAGTAATATTTACAGCAAAAAAAATGTTTAGGAAAATTGTAAAAATATATAACCCTAAAATCGTCATTTCAAAACTTCAAGGTAAACATAAAGCTAAAATAAATTGAGCCAAAATGAGCTTTTGACAAAGTGCTGATTAAGATAGGATTTGCTCTTTAGGAAGGCATGCATTTTTCTGGATTGTTGCCAAAGGAGTGTTCATGAGGATGGACAAATTGATAATGAAAATAAAAAAGTTTGGAAAGAAATTACGATAAAGAAGACTCACTTCTTCTCCTCGTCCAACTTCAGATTGAGTTTTTCATTTTCCTTTGTAAACCGGCCGAGGACACTCTCAAGCTCTACAATTTGCAGATTAAGCTTGCTAATCAATTCCTTCTGCTGGATCTGTTCCACTTCAAACTAATAGTTCAGAAAAATAATATAAAAGAACTATATATTTAGTCATCGAAAATTATGGTATATGAGGACAATAATCAAAGGAAAATTATAAACATATCTTCTCGTCAAAGTAAATTTAGCATAATATGATAAAGTAGCCTGAAGTTAGATGGATTTAATGCATAGCCAAACTACTATAGATGATTAGTGCCTTTTTCAAGTGCAAACGAATTTGAACTAAAAATGCGCCTGAGATTAATAATGCAATTAAATACTTTAAATGAAGTAAAGGCAGCTAAATACTTAAATATTCCCACTTTATGAGAATTATGTATCTTCTCAGAGTACATTAAAGCTTTGTGTAGACAAGTTTAAATTTAGACTAGAATCGAAAGCTTGTGAGCATCATAATATTTCTTTTGACAAAGATTTATGCTAAGTCAGTACAAGTATCAAGAAATTCCAAAAAGAGCGTAGGAGTTAAAAGATACAAGATAACTTACAGCACATGATTCTGACTTGATACAATCTTAAATAATTCCCCAAGTTGTCAGCGAAATTTTTTTACCCCGTTTTCACAACTAGGTCATATTGGTAGGAAGGCTTAAATGAACACCCCTAGTCCGGAGTCCATAGTATGCATGATAATTTCCAGAGTCGAACACTGGAATTGGTACATTATCAGCATTGCCAGTCTTGGTACCACAGTAGAACTCGTCGAAGAGATAAGTGAAGCAGATCCTTTGACCAATTGTCTGCTAAACAATCGTGGTATCTCTCCTTCCCCCTGGGCTAATCACCAATCCTATATCTTCGTATCACGCCTTCACTATCACTAATTTTACTTGCTTATTTGAATGTGGTATGATGTGCCCTTTTGAGTAGATGTCATGGGAGCTCTCCACAATCCAAGCTAGCTTTCTCACCCTTTCACCCACCTTCATCATTGTGCTGGGAATGTTGGTCAGAGTCTGCCCTTATGCTACACCGTCATCCTCACCTATGGCTTATCTGAGTCTCCCTCTTGCCCCGTAGGATACGTCTGCTATCTCCCTGGTTCAAGTATTTCACCCGACCCCTGCCATCCTATCTTTGCTACTCGAGGCGTTATTTTCCGCAATATGCCTCTGGGACATTAAGTTGTGGATAAAGCCCCTGAGTAATTCTCACGGTCAAGCCTCTGCTTCATGGACCACGTCTATAGTAAAACAGAGTTACTGTCAGCCTATTAGCTCTAGTCGCCACCGCGTCTATACTGTTTCTATCCGTAATACCATGTCTACACCTTCCTGTGACCTTGTCTCTTGTGTGCCAACCCACAATTGTTGTGGGACTGCTTGTTTTGATTAGGTTCAATGGAGAACGACAACATTTGTTGCTTGGCCCACAAGAGACTAGGGCATAGTAGGTTATAGACTCGACACTATGGAAAGAAACGGGATAGAGGCGGTGGAGACTAAAGCTATTTATTTAACATTAGACATGCTTCATGGACCACGTCTATGATCAAAAACGTCTATCGGTAGCCAAATAGCTCTAGTATCGACCGCGTCTATCCTGTTTCTAGCCGTAGAGACAAGTCTATGAACTACTATGCCCTAGTCTCTTGTGTGGTTTTACACAGAACCTAATCAAGGCAAGCAATACCACAACATTTGTAGATTAGCACACAAGAGATTAGAGCACAGGAAGTCATCTTCTTTGTAATAGGGATAGAAATACGATAGACCAGGAGGAGACTGGAGCTAGTTGGCTAACAGTAGGCCTGTTTTACCATAGACATGGTCCATGAAGCAAAGGCTTGACAGTGAGAATTACACAGGGACTTTAGCCTCAACTTAATGTCCCAGAGGCAGATTGTGGAAAATAACGCCTCGAGTAGCAAAGATATGGTGGCAGGGGTCGAGTGAAATGCTTGAACTAAGGAGATAGCAGACGTATCCTACGGGGCAAGAGGGAGACTCTGATAAGACCTAGGGAAGGATGACGGTGTAGCATTAGGGCAGACTCTGACCAACATTTCCAGCACAAGGATGAAGGTGGGTTAGAGGGTGAGAAAGCCAGCTTGGAGAGCTGGCATGATATCAACTCAAAACAGCACACCATATCACATTTAAATAAGCAAGTAAAAAATAGTGATAGTGAATGCGTGATACGAGGATATAGGGGAGTTGAATAGCCCAGGACAGAAGGAGAGATACCACAATTGG